TTTTTTTTTTTTTTGGAAACAAGCTCCATCTATTGGTGGGGAGCAACACCTGCTGGAAACCGGGTCCAGCGTCCCATAGATACAGCCATATCCTCCCTAATTGGCACAAACTGGGAACCGGGCCCAGCGTCCCATAACGAGTACATACAAAAAACTTCAGAAAACTTCAGAAAACTTCATCAGACACTAAGGAGCTACTAGAAAACTTTAGCTCGGAACTATTGGAGCTACTTCAGACCTGTTTATGACAACTTCATGAAAAAATTCAGAAACGACTCGACTCGGAAAAACCCCCATCGATCCGCTTTGCCTCCCTCCGGCAAGACTGACTGCAGCGGAGCCACCATCTCTACTGCTGCTATGCCATACTCCCATCCTACCAGCTAGCCCCCTCACTGGTAGGACGCGTGATAACCCACCATCTTCTCCCACTCACCTTATTAACTCTTACCGTCGTTYCAGAAGCAAGAGAATAGGCCACRAAGGTCCTACGATTGTTCCAAAAACTTTGAAAACCCACACACACCCTTCCAACRGTCTCCAAAACTGTCGTACACTTCTGCCACTCTCTTCCAGGTCTCACACCCCCACTTTCTGCTGGGTTACAGGGCAACGCAACTCACCCCAGCTCCGACCAGCGTCGTCCCGGCAGCAACCCTTAGTTGTCCCGTTCAAAAAAAAAAAAGAAAAAAAAAGAGAGAGATTATGCACATTCTGATAAGATGTAGCCCAGAAATTCCAGGTTTTGCCCTCCCTTCCGGAGAAAGACTGAAATCAGAAGCGTTCGCTGATGACTCGGTTGCGTTTCTCCGGGTTTTCTCCCCCTCGACTGACCTTGCCTTCTTTGCGGTCAGGGGAACCATAGACTTGTTTTGTCAGTTGTCACAAGCTCAGGTTAACTGGTCCAAACCTTTTGTCTTGATACCTCCGGGGGAACAGCCTTCGCAAAATTGGGGCGTGTGGGTGGTGGCCCACGCCCGACATGAAAGGCTGCTGGGTCACCAGTTGTCCTTTGATCCGCAGCTAATGCAAAACCCATCCGCCTCTATAGCTGGTCTACGCTCTGCATTGCAGCCCTGGGTCAAATGGGTCAAATATAAGGGAGCCTGTTTATTTGACTGAGCTACAGTGATTAACAATGTTGTGTTGTCTACCTTGTGGTATCGCCGATCCATCCATCAGCTTGATTCGTCATCGATGCAGACGATACAACACTTGTTGATTCATTATTTGTGGAAAGAAGAGCTCAATGATGACAACTTTCTGCCAAAGGTGGCATGGCAGATCATAACACATCCAAAACGCAATGGGAGATTGGCCATCTTGGATCCTGAACGGCAAATCACGGCGCTGCTTGCAAGATGGGTGTCGTGGGCGATGTTGGAGAGCCCTTATAGTGCACGGCGACAATTGGCTGAATTTTCTCTCTTTTCCCTGTTGGAATGGAGAGATCTCCATTGCATATGGCTAACGGTTCTCATTCCGGATTGTCAGCGGAAGAGACTGCCGCCCGACATATGGGCGGGGATATTGAAAGCATGGGGGAGAGGTGTCTGCCCTAAATTACAACCCCCTCCCCTTGTTTTTGAAATTTAAGACTGTTGACACAGTCGCTGTTTTTTTTTTTTTTTTTTTTTTTTGACACAGCGACTGTTTAACAACCCCCTCTTGCTCAATTCGGAGGGGCTTCCCTTTCAATGTTTTGGCTCTGGGGAGTTCGGGAATGTTTGGATGTCTCGAGGGATTGGTACCCTCGCCGACAGTTGGGATGTGACGACCGCTGATTGGAAAACTTTCGAGCCTCTGGCTCCGAGACTGTTGGGACTGGTATCAGGATGAGCATTTGCAACAGCTAAAGAATGCTATCCCACAGCAATGGGAATGTATATTGAGGATGGGACCTCGGTTGGCTGAAGGAATGTGGTACAAGCATGTTCAACAGGAAATGTCGGATTGTGTTTGGAAGATAGAGGATTATTCGGAGGCGATGGCTATTCCTGCAACTTGAAGGAAGGGTTGTGTAGAGTGGAGAGCCGCTGCAACTTGCTCAGGAACAGCTTTCCCTTCCCCCGATCGAACAACTTGTGCCGGTTTGTGTATTGGAACAGAAAGAAAGCTACAGACCGATTGACCTCAGAGACTGGGCATGGGAACATCCATTGTGTAACACTGAATTGATCGGGTTATTAGAATATACCACAAAACTGGGGCTACCTGTTAACGACACCGCAAACAGATGTCAACTGGACAGTGGCCAGGAGATGGATGGCAACGGGATGGGTTGCAGACACATTAACAAGATTGTCCGCCACCCTCCCAGCCTTTTGGAAGCAAATAATGGATCTTGTGGTACGCAAGCATGCGAGCTTGCTAGGGTTGCTGATGCAGCTGGCATTGCCAGTTAACACCTGGCGTGCCAGAAGAACAACGAAGGGCTGCACCAGAGTGTCGGTTGTGCTCAGGGACCCAGATGGAACTTCATGGAAGATATCCAACAGTTTGTGTTGCAGTGTGACCTTTCTAGGCCATTTTGGGAATGGTAGAGGCAATCAGATGTCCCGATTCCGGGGGTGCGATACCCGTTGGGGAGACAATTTTTTTCTCATGGGAACAGCCTCCAAGAGAACAACGCTCCTGCTGCAATCTGCTCACGCTGAGGCGACTATTAGAGGGACCATTTTATGGACTCCTTGGAATCTCATAAATGCGATGGTGAGGTAGGGTGAGCATCTTCCACCTCCGATGGTTAGACTCGAAAATCCGCACATCCGCATCAAGGAAGGGGATTGGATGGGCAGACCGACCGGCGCAACGCTACCAGGAGCGCTGCGCCCGGCTTACTCGAGAAGTGCTAGGCTTGTACGGGGCGTATCGTATGTCGAGCGGGGCAGCGGGCCGGAATGGAGGTGACGCGACTGTAAGTGGGTGATGTGGGGCAATGGTGCGTAGAGGTTGGCGCATTGGCATCGACTAGCATCACCACGTGTGCTCAATGGCACGGGAAGAGCGTGTGTGCAAGTCATCTGCTCTGAGTCGAAGCAGCGTTCGGTGCGGGGACAAAAGGGTGTGCGTAGCTTCAGCTTCGTGATTCTTGTGAATACCGTGGCACGACGCTCTCTACAGTTTGAAGGCGTAGGAGAACTAAGAAAGCTCTACGGAATGCAGCCATGGAGACAGTTGTGGCGGTTAGCGCGAGGTACAAAGCGGTGTTGGCACTGGCCATGTCATGTGTGCTTGTCGTGCTCGCAGAGGCCGTGGGAATACAGGGCGAGAGGCAGGGCGGTCAAAGTTTTGGCTGGAGGGTCGAAGCGGGAGGGCAAAGAGCACGCAGGACACGCCAGTGCTCTTCACGTCGCGCAAGTCTGGGAGTGGGGGATCAACGGCGAGGTGGAGGGCGAGCTTTATCATTGGTAGGGGAGGAGGTTGGGGCGGGAGGGTTAGTAACATGCGGAAGGAAGGCTGCTGCTGCGAATCAGGGATCATGCAATCAGAAGAGGAGGAAGACTGCTGCTATGAATCATCTTTTTGCCGCCACGAGGATTGATCCTAACGATCTGTTCGACTGCTCAGAAGGTAAGCATGTCTAAGTAAGCGAGGGTTGTGCGGATGAGGCGACGCGGTGGGCAATATCCTTCCCTTTTTCTCAACCGTATAGTACGTGTATAGTTAGGGTGTTTTTGAACCCCCCGTGACAACTCGTCAACATGCTTGGCGAGGGGATGCCACACTGTTTTCGATTTCCTGAAGGAAACGAAGATGGTCGTTTATGTCTTTGCTGTTAGTGTTGCCTTGAGTCTAGAAGCTAGCAGAGGGAGGAATTCCTTCCCCAAAGGCGCAGGGGTACGGTTCGAGGGTTGGGAGGGAAGTGGTGGGTTGAGGAAGAAGGGAAAAGAGGTTTTTTGTTGATCTGGAATTTAACCCACGTGCCGTCTATCAAGCTTTTTAATCCTGTTGATTTCCACTGATAAATCTTGAATTCAATTCATGATTCTCGATTGTCCTTTTTTCTCTAGGCCGATTGATTGAGATAATCTGGTGCTTGTTTCGCTTGATGATCAACAAGTTTTTGCCGATCACTTTTTTCGAAGAATATTTCAATAAACTGTCATTTCGTCAAAATTGACGTCTTTTATTTTTTGAACGAAATTGAAAGAGTTTTTTGGTCGAAAACTTGTCAAAACTTGTTGTTCCCGAGGGTCCAGCGTTTGTAAAACGCTGGACCCTCGGGAACAACAAATTTTGACGAGTTTTCAGCCAAAAAACTTAGTTTCAGTTTCGTTCAAAAAATAAAAAATGTCCATTTTGACGAAGTGGTCGTTGATAGTACTCTGTTTCTTTATATCGTTCGCAGTGATTTTTCGTACAATTCCTATTCAAGAGTATGTTCTTTGCCATATAGTTGTTTCCATTAATAAGATCTTAACTACGATCAATACTATTTTCTTGATTTCAAATGTTCGTGAGTTTAATATTGGACATCTTTTTTAAATCTCGTTTTT